AAAAAAAAAAAACAAATAACGATATTGGATGGAATAAATATCTTGAACCTGCCAGCAGTAGGTGATTGGATGAGTCTTTTGGATGGATTCAAGACAGTAATGTTTGCGGTGACCCCCTGTTGCAAAAACAACATTGAAATCGGAAGAATATATAACAGTCATCATCATGCTTCATTTACCTCCGGTGTTTTTCTCTTTGAGGATTGGACAGTAGGTTTCTGGGAGTTTGATGAGTGAGCAATATCAGATGCTGATTTCCTTAATAAAACCCTGTTCTGAACAGTGCTTCCAATTGGATTGATATCTTTCCGAATTGAGGACTTTGTTAAGTCAACGTTTAAACTGAAAATTTTGAAAGATCGAAGAAGAGAAAAACGCTTTAATGCAATATATATTCCCTTTACATCTGAACAATGGTAAAACTCAAGAATCAAGAAGCACTTACCATTGGAGTTTCACGCCAGGGGGTTCAGGGGTCTTCCTACCACGTTCAATCGAGAAAAGCTTATTATGTCCTTCAGCAGGAATTTGTTTATTACTTAATCGAATAGCTGCTAAGGAAATTGGATTTCCACCCTTCTGTGCTGCATTTTTGTTCACCTCCAAGGAAAAGGAAGAGCCAGAGCTTCTGAAAACAAATAAATTAATGTTCTTCAGAAATCTTGTGTGGTTTCAACAGTATCAGTCCACCATATTGGTAATTTATCTAATCAAAGATCCTTGATCCTGGTAAAATCAAGCTTATAGTGGACATGATTCCTGATGGTATTTACACAAATGTCAGCTTCAAAACGTCAATTACAAAAGGAGAAAAAGAGAGTGTTAACGTGTCTAACACACTTCCAACACAGATTAAATGAAGCACTCTATTTTATATGTGAGGAAGATATACACAGTGTGAGAATGTAGTACAACTTGAGTATTATTTAGTTTCAGAAAATCATTGTTATCATTCGACATAGTTCAAACTGAAATATAAGTAGCAAGTTGTTAGTAGATAAGGAATAACGAACCTAAGAGGATTCGTATCTTTCATGCTCTTCTCTTTTGTTGTTTCCGTCTCCTTACCTAGTGAGCTAGAAGAATCATTCAGCTTCTTCCCGTTTTCTAGCCCCTCAGCACTGGACATCAGACTACTGAAAGTAAACTGCCGCTCTTGTCTTCCATATTCATACTCTGCCTTAAAAGACAAAAACAACTACACTTTAACTGAAACATAGATTTGTGTTACGTGTTGAGCTCACCTGGGGACCTTGAGAGCCAC